TGGTGTGATATCTAAGAGACCATTACCAAATACAAAATCAAAGATTTGCCCCTGTTTTCTTTTTTAAGTTGTAGAATATAAGTTTCACTCTTATATATAGATTTTTAATTCATTTTGAGTTAGTTTTTGTCAATGGTGGAAGGTAGGGGTTCTATTTTTTTTTTTTTTTTTTGCATGTGGCTATCCAGTTGTCCAGCACCATTTGTTGAAGACTAGTCTTCCCCCCTGAAGGTTCTAGACATTCCTCTCAAAAATCCGTTGATCTTAGATGTATAGATTTGTTTCTCACAAGTCTATTTCATTGATTTATATGCCTATGCTTATGCCTGGAGTAAGTTTTAAAATCAGAAAGTGTGAATCCTCCAACTTTATTTTTTAATTTTTCAAGATCACTTTGGCTGTTCAGTATCACAGAGTTGTGCAGAGTTATGGTCTTTGTTCGATCCTAAGGAAGACGTAGGGGGTTTGGATAAGGTCCTTGTAAGAATAATGAAAATGATCCTGGGTTGTGATAGGGTATTCCGATAGTTTGGCCTGTCTGATGGAAGAATGAAGGCTGAGAGGGACTTTCTGATCGACTTGTAAAAAATGAAGAGTAAGGGCAGCACAGGCTGATCTGGGCACCAGATATATTGGATACGCTCGAAGCAGGAGGGTGCCTGGTGAGGTTTGCAGTGGCAAGTTTAGTGTGCGGTGCTCCACACCAGAACTAATTTGATGAAACTTATCTCCAACAAGCACTTACCATAAGCTACAAACCATAAATACTATAGCTTTAAAACATTTTAGAACATTCACAAACCTTTATCTCCCAGGACAAACGTGCATGTTCTGCGGTATGCCTCTGACCTTTTGAGGTTTGTGCCACCCCCTATGCTCTCCTACACCTTGTCGCCTGGCGATATGGTCTCAGGCCTAATACTGGGTGAGTGGCATGAGTCTAGCCCTGAATGGTGGTTCTTAGGAACTGCCAGTGAACCACAGCCTCACCAGTGTCTTCCCAGTGTCTGCCAGTGGGTAATAGCGGGGACCGAACCAGCGTCCGGCCTGTGGTGAGGTTGTCTCGCTGGGACCTGGCTGTATTAGTGCCTCCGCAGCGTGCAGCTGGACCGAATCTGCCCGAGCTGGGACTTGTCAGCCTTCATCAGCCTGCCTCAAAACACAGCCTCTCTCCCGAATCAAATTTGCATTTATTTCCTACCACAAACCACCTTCTAACCATACTTTGGAACCATGTTCAAATCCTGCCAAAGCGGTTTTGCCTTTTTAGTTCAGGTTTGACTAGCTTGTTAATAACCAAATTCTGTGCTAGTGGGAATTTTGTTCCGACCACTTTTTAACCTGTTTGTGTGTAGAATGATTTTGTTACTCCTCTGTGATTGGTTTTCCTAATTGTGTTATTTCAACTACGTAACTGTTAGATATGTGTTGTTTATATTCGCGTGTGTAGACTGATTTAACTTGATGAGTCAATATGAAACATTATAAAGGCTGTTATCATTAATCCAGATTTATCTTTTCAAAGACATTAAAATTAGATTTGTGATTTATAGCAAATTTATAGTAAATTCAGATGTTTGTGTAATTTTATTATCACTTACTTTGTTTTAGTGAAAAATGAATATTTACAGAAGATTAGCCATAATGTCTGTCTTTAAAGTTCAGGATAAGGTATATAAAATTTAAAGCAGAACTTCCCAGTGTTGGATCAGTGAGGCAAACAATGTGGAATTTAGAAATAAACTGGATTCAGATTTCAGCTGGAGGATGTTAGAGGTCATGTAGTTCACTCTCTTCTTTCTGGTTAATCATGAGGAAAATGAGGTTCAGAGAGGTTAAATGACTTGCCCAATGCCACGCGACTCAGTTACTGGCAGAGCCGAGGCTCAAACAGCAGTTCTTGCTGTGGTCTTGCTTTAACTTGCCACTCCCTGATTAATGGATAAAGAGACAAATGTTAAGTGTGTTTGAGTTTTACATTGAGAGTTAGGATTAAAATTTATTGAGCATCTACTTGGTAAGCACTTTTTAATTTCATTTCATTCTTACCTAGTCCTGTGACAAAATTATTAACAGTTCCACTTTACAGATTAGGAAACCAGGGTGCATGAAGGTTCCCAACTTGCTCAAGGTCATGTGATTAATATTAGAGCTGGTATTTGAGCCAGGTCTTTCTGACCTGTTTCCTGCTGTGATACCCTGCGTGGCTCCAGTGATAGTAACTGAAACCTTTGCAGGGGTGTGGGCAGTAGTGATGTTTATGTTAAAAATAGATCTTTCTCAGACTTGTCACTCATTGTAAAACATATAGACGTACACAGATAGGTGCAGAGAGAATCTTTCTCAGAGTACCCACAGCACTTAAGGGATGTTTGGCTAATCTTTATACCATTTCTGTAAGATAAATGGTCTTTTTTGGTTGGGCAGCCAAGGCCCAGATAGATTCAGGGACTTGCTCAATTCCTTATCGCAAACCCACAAGGCCCTGCTCCCAGTTCCGTTCTTCGTCCAGTCTAGCATAGATTTCACCACTTTTGTTCTTTCCTGTCTTACACCAAGATTGTTTAAGTACTTCCCAAAAATAATGAGCCACGTGTGGGTGTGTTCGCTCTCCAGGATGAATCACTGTGAAAGGGGCCGTGAACCAATGAAAGGAGGATAAGTATCTGGAATCAGAGACTCCTGGCTCCCAATTGACGACGCTGAAGTGAGCTTTTTTCAAAAGGCGGCTGCGGGTCTGGCCTGTGCGTCCCACTGTGCTCAGAATAGCCCTCTTGGAGTTGTTCGCTTTCCCTTCTCGCTTCCCAAAATAGACCCAATGCTGTTCTCTTTGCTGGATGGCCTGGTGCGTGTATTGAGAGGTGTTCACTCCATGGGGAACCCCTTTTGTGCCTGAATGTCCCCCTGACACAAAGGAGTGGGTATTGGCTTCCCTGAAGTAACAGGACTGCAGCTGGAGTAAAAGATTTGGATTGAGTATTCAGAAGGGCACAGAAGTAAATTTGTTAACAAGGTGAATAAAAGGGAGCAAATAAAGGTATTTGGTAAGAAAAATGGAGAAGGTTCTTTTAGTCTTTGTGTCTAAAAGGGTTGGGATTGAAGTTTAGGAGGCATTTACTTTTAAAAATCCTTCTAGATTTGGAATGTAGCCTAAAGAGTACCTGCTTTAAACTTCCTGCCTTCAAAAATGTAACACTACCCAAACCCTTCAGCAGGTAGCAACATGTTTTGGAATTTCTCCCTGAAGAAAGGGATCTGATCAAACGCTGTGAAAAAAATAACCACAGGCCCTAGTGCTGTTTACCTGTCAGTGCTCTCTCTCCTTTGTTTCCTTGGCTGGGGATGGCAGGGATGTGTCCTTTACAGAAGCCTGAGAAAGGAGGGGTGTGACACTGAGATATTTAGAATCTGTCTTTGGATTTGAAAGCCAAGAGGTGCCTCCCATTGTATGGGAGAAAGAGACAAAGATAAACTGTTTACAGCCTAAAGGGGTGAGTTACAACAGACTGGGTTTTCATGGGACTGGTCATATATGTCTCTTCTCTAGGGGCCCTAGTTTGAATACCTTCCCACTCGGTATCCAGATAGTATCCACTTAGTGTCTAGTCTGGGACCTGGGTGGGCCCTACCACCTCCATCCCCTGTGAGTCCCAACCTAAGCATTGTAGTGGCTAAAGCCACACTCCTGCCCCTCCCAGAGGTCAGGGCTCGGTTAGGCTCATGGGAGACAGTGCTGGGCAGAACCAACTGCTGCTGTCTGTGCTATTCCTGTTAGACAGATAAATCAAGGATTTCAGACTCCAGGGCTGCTGAACTAGCTTTCAGAGGCACAAATTCACTTACAGTAATTTCCTGCCAATAGTCTACACTTATGTATACTACACACCCAGCAAAACTCACTAGGCCCAGAGATGATTGCATACACTACCTATTTGAAAAAAAAATACACACACACACACACCCCGCATATAGACATATATTACTCTTTAAAGTGATATAGTGATATTCAGGGACCTTTCAGAATGGGTTAAACACATTGAGTCCTTTTTATGCATTAGCTCATTTAATCCTTATGAGGTAGCCACTGATATTATCTTCTTTGGAGGGTACTGTTTTTGCCCTCATGAGAGAGGTACTTGCCATGGACTAAAGCAGTGGTTGGCAAACTGCGGCTCGCGAGCCACATGTGGCTCTTCCACAAAATACCACGTGCGGGCGCGCATGTACAGTGCGATTGAAACTTCGTGGCCCCATGCGCAGAAGTCGGTATTTTGTGGAAGAGCCACACTCAAGGGGCCAAAGAGCCGCAGTTTGCCGACCACTGGACTGAAGGAAGAGGATGTTGGACAGTCAGGGGAAGCTTTTTTTTAAAATCCTCACCTGAGGATATGTTTATTGATTTGAGAGAGAGAAACATCAGTGTGAGAAACATCTATCAGTTGCCTTCCGCAGCACCCTGGCCGGGGTTGAACCCACAGCCTTTTGGTGCACAGGACGACGCTCCAACCAGCTGAGCCACTCAGCCGGGATGGCAGGGGAAGCTTTTCAAAGGAAGTGATGTTTAAGCTGAATTTTAAAGGATTTGTAAGAATTCGCCAGGAAAAAGAGCATTGCAGCAAAAGAATATATGAGAGCATGCATACTGACTGCATTCAGGAGACTAGGCATCTAAATTTAAAGAAAAACGTCTTTCCCAGTCACAAAATTATTTGTATTAAGTCTAAGGCAAAGTTCAAAAGGTAGTTTCTCTGTGTCTCAGAGGCATAAAATAGAGCACTTAGAGGAAAATGGTGGGGCCTAGAAAGTCTTGTTTGTGAGCTGAATATACAGGTGAAAAGGTTGTGTCTCCATTGACAATATCATCTTTCTGACCCGATCTCTATAAAAGCTCCTTATTTTGGAACATCAAGGATGCTAAGGAATGATATTCTAAGTTTGTGAAAGGACCCGGGATAAGATCTAATCTTTGATGTCAATGTCTACTCCCAAATTTCCTGCAGCTCTGCTGTGTACGTGCACCAGCTGCCTACAGGCCAACTACACGTGTGAAACAGATGGGGCCTGCATGGTTTCCATTTTCAACCTGGATGGGGTGGAGCACCATGTGCGTACCTGCATCCCCAAAGTGGAGCTGGTCCCTGCTGGGAAGCCCTTCTATTGCCTGAGCTCCGAGGACCTGCGTAACACCCACTGCTGCTATACTGACTTCTGCAACAAGATCGACCTGAGGGTGCCCAGTGGTGAGTGGACACCCTTGTTGGACTATTGGCTCATCTTGGAGGTGGGGCACCCCTGTCATTTCATCCTTCTCTACGCTTCCCAATCCCTTTGTTTGATGATAGGTAAACTTTTTGAAGTTCCCTAAGGCAGTGGTCGGCAAACTCATTAGTCAACAGAGCCAAATATCAACAGTACAACGATTGAAATTTCTTTTGAGAGCCAAATTTTTTAAACTTAAACTATATAGGTAGGTACATTGTCATTAACTTAATTAGGGTATTCCTAAGGCTTAGGAAGAGCCACACTCAAGGGGCCAAAGAGCCGCATGTGGCTCGAGAGCCGCAGATTGCCGACCACGGCCCGAAGGTGACAAGGGATGGGATTGCTCCCACATCAGGTTTGTAGATTAGAGGACGAGGGAGACAGATTGTTGTCAAGTTGGTCCCAGAGGTGAAAGCTGCATTTTGGATGGTGGCCAAGTGTCATAGGCAGCTGTTGAGGAGCGGGAGAACCAGGCAAGGAGGGGGGTGGGAGTGGTTGGGTATGGGACTGATTCTGAAGGAGGCAACCCCAGAGCCTCAGGAAGGGAGCTTTTGGGGTGGGGTGAAGGCAATACCGGAAAGAGGGGCTACAATTAGGCAAAAAGGGCGGTGATCACGGCTGGGAAATGTTAGACCTCACCCCTCTACAGGTCTGCCATTTAGAAGGCATCACTGAGGAGATAGAGGAGCAGGAGAGAGACTGGAGCAGAGCTTAAAAGAGTTACAAGTTGAAGAGTAGATCCTGGCATCTGTCCGGGCCACTGAGATGGGAAAAGTACCGTGAAATTACAAAGTGGGTTATGGATTTGACTGATGCAAAGGGCACTAAAGAGGTTGCATTTGAGAGCAGACACACTAGCCCCATAAGACTGGAGAGGTCAAGCACACCTTGAGCATGTGGCGAGGGAACGGGCATTTCACTTAGAGGGAGGTGTTGAGGATAAATAAGGCCAGTGCATTCCCTTGTTTTGACTCTTTGTTCTTTCCCTCTTCTTTCTCACTTGACCCAGGTCACCTTAAGGAGCCTGAGCACCCTTCCATGTGGGGCCCTGTGGAGCTGGTCGGCATCATTGCCGGCCCAGTGTTCCTCCTGTTTCTCATCATCATCATTGTTTTCCTTGTCATTAACTATCACCAGCGTGTCTATCACAACCGCCAGAGGCTGGACATGGAAGATCCCTCATGTGAGATGTGCCTCTCCAAAGACAAGACGCTCCAAGATCTTGTCTACGATCTCTCCACATCAGGGTCTGGCTCAGGTACTGAGTTCTTCTGGCCTTGTGTCTGTTGTTGGCCTTCATCACTGCTTCCCAGCAGGATAGATAGAGCATTTCTGAGAAAGGCTGGGCCTTACACTTGTTTCTAGCAGCAGTGAGTCTTTTGGTGTCATACTTCCCCTTCTTGTGGAGTCTGACACGTAATAAGGTAAGGGGGGTCACAGAAAATCTTTCATTCCCTGGGATTCCAAAGGTCAAGTGCAAACCTCTCTCGTCCAGAAACTCTGCCTCTCTCCAAGTTCTGTAACCAACATCTATTAAAATTCATCTGGCTCCACCTGAGCGGTGGAGTGCTCAATTTGAGGGCCCCTTTTGAGAAACAGGAGTGTGCCGCGTTCCTGTGAGGTGGTGACAGCTAATCATTGATCCCTGAGCAACCACAAGGGGAGTTTAAGGACATTGAGTGAAGCTGAAAGCTGGGTTTGGTGAATCATTGACTTGTTCCAGTTGCCCAGAGGTTTTTCCATGCGGTTAAATAAAGGCAGCTTGGGCTTCCAGCACGGCATCAGCCCCATTTCTTGTCCTGCCTGTTGGTAACCGAGTCTTCCTTAGATGAGGGAATTGAACCAAACACTGAGCCTTGTCGTGAGACCAGGATTGGCAAAAGGGGATTGGATTGTTCGGGTCTCGGTATATAGCTCAGCTAGCTATTAGATATGAGTGTGACTGCAAAATAGTCTTTTCATGAAGATAAACAATTATTTTAGTGATGGTGGTATTCTGTTCTTGTAAAAAAATCATCCACAAAAATCATTATTGTTGCCAATGTAGCTAAAACATACAGAATCATATTTGTGAGAATTTTGTGTTTATGTATTTTTTTATATATTTTATTAATTTTTACAGAGAGGAAGGGAGAGGGATAGAGAGTTGGAAACATCAGTGAGAGAGAAACATTGATCAGCTGCCTCCTACACACTCCCCACTGGGGATGTGCCTGCAACCAAGGTACATGCCCTTGGTCAAAATCGAACCCGGGACCCTTCAGTCCGCAGGCCAACGCTCCATCCACTGAGCCAAACCGGTTAGGGCATGTTTATGTATTTTTTTTGCCATGTGACAAGACTGTTCTGTAGGGAAATTATACCATCAGTCATAGCCAGACATTTCTCCTTGAACACAAGGAATACTTTGACATCTCTTGAATTTTAGTGGTTTTGCCTTTATTAAGCTCTGCAGTAGAGTGTGCCAAAATGATGGATGTATTAAAAGCTGTATACATTTAGGAAGGGAGAAAAATAGATGGCCTGTTCTTTGATGAAGGAGGAAGGGCAGTGGTTAGACCATCCTGACTGCCTGTGACTTGATTTGCTGTCAGAGGAGGGTAGCTCGGTTTCCAGAGTCCAGCTGAGGCTCTGGAAGGTGCGTGGTGGTTAGTCAGCTGGGATGAAGTGATTAATAACCATTTCTCTCTGGATGGTTTAGTCCAGTGGTCGGCAAACTCATTAGTCAACAGAGCCAAATATCAAGAGTACGACGATTGAAATTTCTTTTGAGAGCCAAATTTTTTAAACTTAAACTATATAGGTAGGTACATTGTCATTAACTTAATTAGGGTACTCCTAAGGCTTAGGAAGAGCCGCACTCAAGGGGCCAAAGAGCCGCATGTAGCTCGCGAGCCGCAGTTTGCTGACCACTGGTTTAGTCCATTCTTAATTCAGAATATGCAGAGCTTCCAAGGTGTTGGAGTTTTAATTCTGTGGATTTAAAGTGAATAAGTCCTTGCTGCTTACGTGACTTTCAATTCACATGAACAAATATATATATATAGAACACCCTCTGGATGATACAGGATGAACAAAGATGAGAAGGAAGCTGATCCAAAGTTGGATAAAAGGGATGGAGATTGTTGGGAAAGGTCCTGCAGAGGAGGGTGCACTCAAAGGGGTCTTGAACACTGAATTTGAAGTTTAAAGAGAAATGAGAGAAGGAACATTCCAGGCCAAAGAAAATCTCTTGAGCAAAAGGACAGAAAGGCGTGAAAGGTCACCGAGTGTTGAGAGAACGACAGAGTCCGGCCTGGCGTGGCCACGCTGGGGGTGGAAGGGGCAGGCTGTCCGGGAGGAAAGGACCTTGGGTGCTGTGCTTCTTCTGGCAAGATAAGCGGCATCTACGGAAACTTCTCCTGTGGACGGAGTTCTGGCAGTGGTGTGGAGGATGAATTCGTTCATTTGCCAGCCTCCTGTTGGAGAGGGCAGGGTGAGGTAGGGCTGTGTGTGGGTTGCAGGGCAGGAGCAGGGTGAGATGGGAGGCAGAAAGACCAGTTGGAAATGTTTTAAAGAAGGGCCTGAACTAGGACTGGCACAGAGAAGATGGGGAGTAGGGGTCCAAGTTGAGAAACTTTTTGCTGGCTCTATACTGCATATAGTTAAAAGCATGAACTTTGGAGTCAGCCAGTCCTAGATTTTAATTCCTGTATTGCCACTTATTGTTTGTATGCATTTGAATGAGTTACTTAACCTTCTCCCTTTGGGCCTGTTTTCTCATCTGTAAAATGGGGATAATAAAAATACCCACCTTATAGATGTTTGTGAGGAAATGAGATAATTTATGTAAAGCCCTTAGCATAATGCCTAAAGCATACAGTAAGTGGTCATTTACATCCACAAGAGTTAGGGATTAATAACATTTTTTTATTTGGTCAGGGAGAGGAAGTGAGAGAGTTAAGAGTTAGTCATGATGGTAGGGGTGGATTGGTAAGATAGGGAGACATTGAATGAGTCAAATGAGGCAATAAATGAGTTCTAGAAAGACAATAAAATTAATCTTAGAATAAGCCTGGGTAGTCTCCCATTCTGCATCTGGAGCTCCACCTGTGAGCAGAACTTTGATCTCTAGATCCTTATATGCCCTGACCACAATTTGGGTTTCATGGGACACGCAGCACTGCCCTCTAGTGGCGAATGAGCAGAAAGCCAGAAGGTGCTCCCAGTGCTCAAGTCCTCACTTTCATTTTTCTGCCCTCTTTCCTCTTCATCAGCATAAGGCAGATGTGGATGGATTGGCCCACAGGTGGCTGGTTACAGAGTTGATAAATCTGGTCAGATGTTTATATTAAAATCTGTCATCCACGCTAACGGAGAGGATAAATTGCTTAGGTCAGGAACAGCTAATCCTTTGCATTTCCCTTTCTGTATTCACTCTCAGGCGCTGCCTGGCTTAGTCTTCGGGTGGACTACCTGGACATGGTACAGGGGCAGCCACAGCTCTGCATGGCCAGTGCAGCACGGGGCGCGGTGATCAGGCTTTTCCAGTGTGGCAGTGAGAGCGGGAGTTACAAAGTTTAGCAAAATTACAGTGTCCGCTTTCTTTCCATCCTTTGGTCCATAGGGTTACCACTGTTTGTCCAGCGCACAGTGGCCCGAACCATCGTTTTACAGGAGATTATTGGCAAGGGCCGGTTTGGAGAAGTGTGGCGCGGCCGCTGGAGGGGTGGAGATGTGGCTGTGAAAATTTTCTCTTCTCGTGAAGAACGGTCTTGGTTCCGGGAAGCAGAGATATACCAGACAGTCATGCTGCGCCACGAAAACATCCTCGGATTTATTGCTGCTGACAATAAAGGTAAAGGGCTGGGTGTGGAGACAGCGTGTCCTGAAGCCAACCATGGTCTCAGACGGAGGGGTGACTGGGGCAACACAGCTTTGTTTGCCTTCATAGTTATTGCCCATAGAGAATCTAAATAAGGTAATGATTTTCAAACTTTTCTTCTACAAAAAGCTTATGTGGAAACCCAGGTTACTTAGCAAGTAAATAAGCAGTTATTAAGCATGTGAACAGGATAAAGCTCTTGCCCCTCCTGCTCACTTCCCTTCCAAGATACTCTCAACCCCCTCCCCCAGGGTAGTCCCTGAGGGGCCCCACTGGAGGGAAGAACTGTGGCCTCAGCTCCGGCCAGGAAAGGATGGCCCCGAAAAGCACGTCGCCCACGTTCGGTGGCAGGCACCCCAGCAGCAGACACGGTTTTGCAGTGGAGCAGGTGCAGCAAAGCAGTGACCTGCCTGCCGCCAAAGTGCCACCTCGTGGCTCTCAGACTCAGCGTTGGGTCCGCTTATACCCGAGGTCCCTTGTTTCCTCCTCCTCCTCGCTCCTGTTCTTGCTTTTGTTTTTGAGTCTTTCTTGTGCGGCCAGGCACGTTGTCATTTTGGAGGGCCTCATTCACTACAAAGGGATAAAGTCATGGTGAATTGTAGGATGTGATCAGGTAACATGCTGTTCTAGTGAGCACAGTCGGGGGTGAGATGCGGGTCAGGGAGGGCACACCTGAGCTTGACTGAGGCGAAGGTAGCAGGAGCTGGTCAGAAAGCAAAACCAGCGGAAGGTTCACTCTAGACAGGTGAGCAGAGGTGAAGTGTGTTTGGGAACCTGCAGTAACTTGGGTGGCTGTGTTACAGCAGAAGACGGCGGTGAGTCACGGAGGCCAGATTGTGAGGCCTTTTTGAGAGGAGTGTATTTTTTTTATGAAATAATGGGTGGTAACTGAAATTTCATTCATTAGTTCAGTAACATCCTCTATTGACAACTATAGGCAGGACCTCTGCCCCTAGAACAAGACAGTCCCTGCCCTCACAGGCCCCAGGAAGAGGGGACAGCAGACACACGGGGAGGTAGTCCACTTGGAGTCAAAGACCATGAGGTGATGGGCTTTGCCGTTTTGGAATCTCCTGGCAGTTGTGACCCAGTTTGCTCCCAGGGCACAGCGATTTTTAGAAGTTAGTGTCTACAAAGCCTACGGAAGATGCTAAGTATTTATGTTTCCTTCCTGAAACAGCAGCAGGCTGCGCATTCCTCACATTGCTGTGGGGGTTGGTAGTGATCTCGGCCTCCCCCAGCTGAAACGTCTTGGTCTCATACACAAGGGAAGAAGCAGGAGAGAATTTTTTACTCCTGAACAAAACAACATCACCTTGGAATAAAACTTAAATCTTACATCTGTTTTAAAGGATCAAAAGAGGTCTTCCCTTTTGACGTATTGGCAGGGTCCTCAAGACTTGGGGGCTGGTTAGAGTGTAAGAGGGGTGTGTTGAGTGGACCCCTGTTCAGAGAAGCCAAGACTAGTGCTGTTCAGAAGCCACTCCCTTGATTGATCTGGCAGCTGTGTGAGTCGGTCTGGCTGTCGAGCCCACATTGGGACCAGGGGAGGGGAAAGTGGGACTCCTCTGACTTGCCTTTTTAACACGATATGTAGTACAGTGTCGTGTCCTGGAACCAGCACCGGCCTGGAATTTAGAAGATCTCAATCCAATTTCCAATTTTCCTATTGACTGCAGCATAACCCAATTAGATTGACAGCTTTTGGTTTTACTTTTTCTCCCTCTCTTCCTCCCCCTCCTCCTTCCCACTGCACACACACCCACACCCACAGTGTATAAGAGTGTATGCTGTCCACCTTCCATCGCTCTTCTGAGGGCGAGACGACCTCTCTGGAATCCTTGGATGTGTGCTCGTCATGCCCTGAAAAGTGTTTTTTTGGTCTGGGATGCAATAATGCACAAAGGAGCTCTTTCCTGCTCAGAGCTCATAACCTGGAAAGAGCAGTGGATTTAGGAAAGAAATGCTACAAATGAGACAGGTGCTGGGCTGGGCTGTGCTCAAAGCGTCTTAGAGAATGGGGGTGGGGGAAGGTAGAGGAGGATATAGGGGGGGATAAATGGTGATTTAAGGAGACTTGAGCACAATACAATATACAGATGATGTATTATAGAATTGTACACCTGAAACCCATGTTACCACGATAAATTCCATTGTCGAAAAGGGGTCTTGCTGCAGAGAGGGCCTGCGAAGCCCCGCCGTGGCGGTGGGCGCAGCCAGTCGGGTTGCTAACGCAGAGAAGCGGGTCGCCTCAGGATGGGAAGCAGTGTTACTCTCTGAGCACACGCTGCCTCTTCTGGAGGCCTCTCACTTCAGAGTTGGGGTTACAGTGGGATGCTGTCCAGACCCTACAGCCACCTACAAGAAATAAGGGAGCGGGTCTAAGAAAGAAATGCTGTTCTGTCCTCCCTGGAGCCTGAAACACCTGCAGGTGAAACGGGCGCAGAGGAGGCCTCCGGAGGCATGGAGGCGAGAGGTGGGAGTTCAGGAGCAGCTGGAGTCCATGGGGTGCACATCTTCCTTTCCTGCTTTAACCGCTGTGGTTGTGCCTTTTCTGAAACTCTTCTGTGGTTCTCTGCAGATAATGGCACCTGGACACAGCTGTGGCTCGTCTCAGACTACCATGAGCATGGCTCCCTGTTCGATTATCTTAACCGGTACACAGTGACGATCGAGGGGATGATCAAGCTGGCCTTGTCTGCTGCCAGTGGGCTGGCACACCTGCACATGGAGATCGTGGGCACCCAAGGTGAGTGGACCCAGCCGAGGGGCGGTGATGCTGGGTTGCCTTTAAAAGCTTGTACCATCCTGATTTGGTTCCCAGACACCTTCTTACTGAGAACGTTGGAGCTGGGCCTCAGGAACTGTCGTCTAATCTGAAGGAGGGAGGTTTGGACTTGACTTGAGTGAGAACAGGAGGGTCTCCGGGGTTGTCCCACCTGCCTCCAGCACCCCCGCAGGGGCTCGTGGGAAAGTGCGGGGACTGGAGCTGGTGTTCACTGAGCAGTCATCTCAGAAGTCCACAGTGCACAGGAGCTAAGACGATGCAGGGGGCTCTTGTGACAGGAGCGTCGGTTTAGTAATTTCACACGTTCACTGGGGGCAGCTGGCTGAAAGACTGCTTGGTGGATTATGCCCTGGGCTTCCTTAGTCTAGGAAGGTTTTTCTGGAGGCAGAAGGCCTTGACCAGCCCTGACTGTACTGTCAGCTCTTTAGGAAATCCTGGATCTTGTCACAGTGGCAGGGTGTGTTCCCTGATGCCTGGTTGACCAGGGCAACAGCACTTGCTGCCATGACAGAAAACCAGCCATTAAGCCCTAACCGGTTTGGCTCAGTGGATAGAGCATCGGCCGGTGGACTGAAGGGTCCCGGGTTCGATTCCTGTCAAGGGCATGTACCTTGGTTGCGGGCACATCCCCAGTAGGAGGTGTGCAGGAGGCAGCTGATCGATGTTTCTCTCTCATCGATGTTTCTAACTCTCTATCCCTCTCCCTTCCTCTCTGTAAAAAATCAATAAAATATATTAAAAAAAGAAAAAAAAAGAAAACCAGCCATTAAAAGTTTGGTCCTGTTTCTAGCCTCTGTCGGGTATCAGCAGTCTTTATTAACCCCTAGAGTGCTGGGAGCGCCTTCGCGCTCCTCCTGCAGTGTCACTATTAGATGCTAGTAGTTCACTTTTTATTGATAGATGGCTTTGCTGTAAAATCAGCAAAAATGCCTTGGCAATTTTAGCATAGTTCCTAGGATATTGGTTGGCACTCAAAGGGTTAATTGTTGGTGATTTTGTTTGATTCTAACACCTAGCCAACACAGCAGTTTTTCTTTGAATTCCTCAGCACTTCAGTACTGGAGCGTAATAGTTCAGGGAAGGGAAGGCGAGTAGTAGTAGTCATGGTAATATCATCTAATACACATGCCCTTCACTCATCACTTACCTACATTAATGCATTTACTCCTCACAACATTTCTGTGAAGTCAGTACTGGTGTTAGTCTGTATAGTTGGGTTAAGTCGCTTTTCCAGGGTTACTGGGCTAGTGGGAGGCAAAGCCAGGACTCAAACTCACGGGACTTCCTAACATTCAGTCTGGCTGTAGACTCTTGCTTGTAACATTTTTACGATCTTTCTTTAAAGGTCCCTGTTTTTTTTCTCTGCCAGGGAAGCCTGGAATTGCTCATCGAGACTTAAAGTCGAAGAACATCCTAGTGAAGAAAAACGGCATGTGCGCCATAGCAGACCTGGGCCTGGCCGTCCGTCATGATGCAGTCACAGACACCATTGACATTGCCCCAAATCAGAGGGTGGGAACCAAACGGTAGGAAGGCCCTCTGCCTGTCCTGAGTGGTCCATGTGTGCCTTCCTCATTGTGCAGGAGGAAGTAAGAGAAGGTCTGCTTATCAGTTGAATCTCAGTGAATTTCACTAAGTTGTTTTGCTGCTTTTCCCTCCCCTTTGACCTGAATGAATGAATGACCCAGGGCCCAAATTGTGAGGCCTGAGGTGATCCCCTAATTTGCCTTACTGTGTGTGTGTCAAGTAGTATCAATTAGCTGAGAGGGACTTTGATGACTATCTAGAATAATTTTCACATTATCTGCAACCAGGTAAGATAAAGAAGTACAGAATGAAATTTAAGCTCAACCCGTCACTGTGGCTACATCTAATAAAGTCCAAGATCCCAGTAGTAACTAGATATTACATATTGTTAGTGCCCTGTGACCCACAGTACAAATACCTCTGCCAAGAAATCAAAACATGCTAAAAAGAAATCTTGATGTTAAAAAGTAGAGGTACAAATAAGAGTAGCCTATGCTACTTCCTAAAGCTATGCTGAAGAATTTAGATTCGAATCCAAAATATGGGAGTTTGCAATAAAAACATTGATCAGTTCCTCGTCCCCAAGGGACTTTTTTGGGGTGATACTCACCCACATTCTGAGGGTCTCCAGGTCAGTACCTTGATTTAAGGAGAGAAGCCATCTTTTCCTCTGCATGATCATGTTTCCTTTGCTGTTGCAGATACATGGCCCCTGAAGTGCTTGATGAAACCATTAACATGAAGCACTTTGACTCCTTTAAATGTGCTGATATCTATGCCCTCGGGCTTGTATATTGGGAGATTGCTCGAAGATGCAATTCTGGAGGTACTTTTCTCTTCTGCCTTTTCTTGCTCCTGCCTCCCCGTCTAGGATGCTGATCACCTGAGGATGCTGGTGTTCTACTGCCTCCTTTCTTTTTACAACCTGCCGGATGCCTAGTGACAGACTCCATCAATCACAGCGTTCTCATCAAATATGAGGGAACCTTGGAGGTAGCTGTGCGAAGGGTGTGTTTACTCTCTGGACCAGCTTCTAAAGTAGTGCTTTACATTGTGGTAAACATTCTGGAGGCCTATTTGGCTTTTTAAAAATTTTAAACAGATTGTTCTTATTGGGCCTGGAGGTTGCGAAAGTCCTGGGCAGGAATAGAATGGAGCTACTGCAGGGGTCTCCTTGATACAGGAGGCATTGTATGCTAACACACTGGCTCTCAAGCTGCGCTCCTGGGGAACATGGGTTTCATTGACAAATTAATAGTAGTAATTTCTCAATTTGTAGGATAAAGCTTACCAGTGTGTAGAATTTTCTCAAAATGAGTTTTTCTCTTGTACTTTTTCTTAAATCTTTGGAATTTGCAACTACTCACTTATGTCAGAATCCAGTAAAAGGTAGTGTCAGGTTTAGCTGAGAACATTTTTATCATCAGCTTAGTACATCAGTATTTTACAGTGACTTTCAAGTATGCTGCCCTCAAGTTCAAGAACCACTAGAGCCCTGCCCTCAGCCATTTATCTCTAATGTAAGAAATTCCAGTCAGGGGAAATGAAATGAAATGAAATGAATTAAAAAGAACTGGTGAGTCTTCCAGCTAGACCCCTTTCTATGTTACTATCTTTTTCTGTCTATAATATTTTTGGTAAGATCCAAATTATGGAGAAGGCACCCAGGTACTCATAGAATTGTACATCTAAAATGTTGATCCTTATATACAGAAAACAGATTAAGAAAATCTGGTCACACAGATCTTAACCTGAGTAACTTAATTTGTTCTTCCTCATACCATCCAGAAATTGGGGCTACGTGTATAATAATACTAATAATGCTAACATTTATCCCTTTTTATGTATAAATTAGTTTAATCTTTACTATAAACCTGTAAAGTGGGTACTAATATTGTTCACCATTTTGCAGATGAAAAAACGAATCATAGAGAGATTAGCTAATTTGTCCAAGATCATATGGCTGATAAACTAGGATTCAATCTGTGGTAAATTGAGGTCAGAGCTCAAGCTCTTAACTACCCCTGAGATAACTACCAAGTCAACTCTATTGCTTTTTGGTTTTTTTTATTTCAGAGAGGAAGGGAAAGGGAGAGAGAGAGAGAACCATCAATGATGAGAATCATTGATCAGCTGCCTCCTGCACACTCCACACGGGACTGAGCTTGCAACTAGGGCATGTGCCCTTACTGGGAATTGAACTTCCCCCTAATTGTCTCTATGGTTACCAAGGTGGACCTCCTGATTCATAGCTCGATGCTCAACCACTGAGCAACACTGGTCTGGCCAGACTCTATTTAAAAGTCTCTCCTATTAGCTCCGGATAGCAGAATTTTTCCTGGAAAAGGGCATGAGAAAGTTACATTGGATTTTTTAAAAATATATTTTTATTGATTTCAGAGAGGAAGGAAGGGGGATAGAGACAATGATGAGAGAGAATCATTGATCAGCTGCCTCCAGCATGTCCCTCCTCTCCCCACTGGGGATCGATCGAGCCTGGGATCCTTCAGTTCGCAGGCTAACATTTTATCCACTAAGCCAGACCAGTTAGGGCACATTGAATTTTTTAAATTAATTTTTTATTATGGAAAATATTTCAGTGTGTAGCTCTGACTTCCAAAAATAATACTCTTGTCACGCTTTTTTAAATGAACATTAATTCTTAATATCATTTAACATCAGTCAGTGTTGAGATTTCCCCAATTTTCTCCTGAACAGTTTGTTCAAAATTAGGGTTAATGTTCATTTGTTGCAGTTGATTGATGCATTGCTAAGTCTCTTATAATCTACTAGAGGCCCGGTGCATGAAATTCGTGCACTGGAAGGGCGGGGGGGCGGGGGGGGAGTCCCTCAGCCTGGCCTGTGCCCTCTCACATTCTGGGAGCCCTCGGGGGATGTCCAACAGATGGACATCCTTAGTGCTGCCATGGAGGCGGGAGAGGCTCCCACCAGTGCGGCTGCGCTCGCCAGCTGTGAACTCGCTCAGGGCTTTTGGCTGGGTGGCGCTCCCCCTGTGGGAGCGCACTGACCACCAGGGGGCAGCTCCTGTGTTGAATGTCTGCCCCCTGGTGGTCAGTGTGTGTCATAGCGACTGGTCGTTCCGCCATTTGGTTGATTTGCATATTAGCCTTTTATTATATAGGATAGGTTTCACATCCCATTTCCCACCCCCCATGGTTTTTTAAATTGGAGAATCCAGTCTTTTGTCCTGTAAATTTTCCTGTTTGTCTCTTCATAGAGTTCATGTGTTCCTGTGAATTTTCTGTGATAGTTACATTCAATGACTACAATCAGATTTTTTCCCCAAAAAAGTTCTTCTGTTACAAGGCACATAGTGCTGGTAACTCTATTTCTGTGATATTAACAGCCATCAGTGATCACTGTCCAAATCCAAATTCATTAGAGGTTGAAAAATGCCAATATTCTGATTCTATCAGCCTTCATGTATTAGCTAGATTTCTTCTTGGAAGAGAAACTTCCCCTAATTGTCTCTATGGTTACCAAGGTGGATAGTTTGAACAGGAACGGCAGGAAAAATACTTGATTTCCATTTATCAAAATAACAAGTGTTACCTATCATCTTACAAAGATGACCGTGATTTTGAGGGTTTTGCTGTTTAGTATAATTATGAACTGGAAGACTTTATTTTTGAACTGGTGGATTTTAAATATTTGTTTCCATTAAAGTTATTAATCTTACTATTGCATAAATGTTCTCATCTTTGACTGGTTGGGAGCTTTTCAAGTTGGTGCCTGTCGACTTGACCTCAGTAGTCTTTGATAGTTTTCTTGCCTTTTGGTATGAAAAAGATGTTTCTGGCTAATCATCTGTACCTCTTGTCCCATCCCTAGATCCACCGAGCTCTCCAAGGAGCTCATTCCCTCCTAGTGGGACGTGGTGTGTGCGGGCCACAGTGTGCTTGTTCTCATTGGAGTTTGACTCATCTCTTCCTTCTGTTGGTAACTCAGGTGGACATTTTCTTTTCTTCCAGGAGTCCATGAAGAATATCAGCTGCCATATTATGACTTAGTGCCCTCTGACCCTTCCATTGAGGAAATGCGCAAGGTCGTATGTGACCAGAAGCTGCGTCCCAACATCCCCAACTGGTGGCAGAGTTATGAGGTAGGAAGTTCCCCTACCTCCTGCTGCTTTTCCGTCTGCATGGTTTTTCTACCTTACCTGACAGGGGGTCCAACCCCTGAGTGTGTCTGTTACGATAATACCACTGTGCTATGATTTTATATACTAAGCCCTGAGAGGCCACAGTCCCTTGTCCTGGGCACTGTAGGGTCCCCTTTGGAATCCACAGCCTAGTAGAAGCAGTTGGCCCTGGGGACACAGATAAGATAGGTGGTCAACAGGAGACAGAAACAAAAGCCTAGTGGGAGCTCTTAGACCTGTCTAACTGGAAAGATGACTTAGTGAGTACATGTCTGTGAGGGAGGTGGCCTTTCTAACAACTCAGAAGAGCGGAGGAGGATGCGGAGAATTTGAATTTGGGGAAGATGGCAGATGAAGTGAAGAGGGAACAACGTGGCTGACTGGTGTCGCTCAATAGTTGAACATCAACCTGTGAACCAGGAAGTCAGGGTTCGATTCCGGGTCAAGGCACATGCCCGGGTTACAGGCTCGATCCCCAGTGTGGGACGTGCAGGAGGCAGCTGATCAATGATTCTCTCTCATCATTGATGTTTCTATCTCTCTCTCCCTCTTCCTTCCTCTCTGAAATCAATAAAAATATATAGTTTTTAAAAAACAGAACATTTTGTGTAAAGAATTGAAGTGACAAATTTATTATACAGAGTCCTAATGAACATGGAGTTCTGGGGTCTTAGAGTCTTCAGGGGGAGCAGGTTTTGCCTAGCTAAGTGCACTTGGGCCTCTTTTTCCCTCATAGCTCTGCTTTTTTTTTTTTTCCCAGAGAGGAAGGGAGAGGGAGAGAGAAACATCGATGATGAGAGAGAGCATCATCGATTGGCTGCCTTCTGCACAACCTCACTGGGGATCTAGCCTGTAACCCAGGCATGAGCCCTGACCCAGAATGGAGCGGTGACCTGGTTCATAGGTGGCTGCTCAACTACTGGCAGGCAGCTCTGCCTTTTAGGAATATAACCACTAGAGGGCGCTTCCGCATTGACCAAAAAATTACTTCGTTCACATTTTAGGTGATGTCCTCTCATTGCATAACAGCAGCATTTTCCAAATGTGCCTTGGAACCCCCAGTTGGGTTTACTTCAGAGGATGAATGTGAGGCTGGAAGAGCTGCTTTTACTGCCCTGCCCCACCCTCTGTTCAGTCACCACTGTTTGTATTGTTGGGACTCTACTCAGGAAAGTAGGGGAAAAATATTTTTCCTCTGAAAATTCCACTGTTAAACGGAATTTTGAAGAATAGTGGCCTTGAGCAGCAATCGAGGAACTTTATAGCCCTCGATAACCAGGAGCGGTCCTTAGGCAACCTTCCGTGTCACCTTTTGGCCTGACTATAGTGGTCGCCTGTGTCATCTTGGCAATGACAGTGTAGCTTTCGGCCTCTGACAAGATTGTTTTCAGGGTCTAGTTTCCACTGGGGCCTTACTAATTGTTCTTTTAAAAAGTAGCATATGGCCCTAACTGGTTTGGCTCGGTGGATAGAGCATCAACCTGTGGACTGAAGAGTCCGGGGTTCAGTTTTGGTGAAGGGCATGTACCTTGGCTGCAAGCTCGATCCCCAGTCCCCAGCCCTGGTCAGAGCATGTGGAGGAAGCAACCAGTTGATGTGTCTTTCTCACATCCATGCTTCTCTGTCTCTGTCTTTCCCACTCCCTTCCACTACCTCTAAAAACAAACAAACAAACAAAAAACAACCAATGGAAAAAAACACCCACAACAACCTGTGGTTGTTTGTTAATCCGTGAGGATTAACAAACAATAAAAAGTGGCAGATGAGCCCTGGCCAGGTAGCTCAGTTGGTTAGAGCATTGTCCTGAAATGCCCAAATTGTGGGTTTGATTTCCGGTCAGAGCACATACAAAAAAGTAACCAGCCCGTCCGGCGTGGCTCAGTGGGTGAGCTTCGACCTATTAACCAGGAGTCGCAGTTCAATTCCCAGTCGGGTATATGCCTGAGTTGTGGACTCAATCCCCAGGGTGGGGCAGCCAGTCAGTGATTCTCTCTCATCATTGATGTTTCCATCTCTCTCTCCCTCTCCCTTCCTCTCTGAAATCAATAAAAATTATTAAAAAAATAAAAAGTTAAAAAAGCAACCAGTGAATGCATAAATAAGCGGAACAACAAATCTCTCTCTCCCTTCTTTCCTCTCTCTAAAACCAATAAAAAAATTTTTAAAGTAAAAATAGAAGAACAACAATCATGAAAATGGATTCTCAAACCTGATAGAAATGATTGTCAGACCACAGGTTGTTGTGGGTGTTTCTTTCCAGACTGTGCAGATGATGGGGCGGCTCGCGGTGCTTGCAGGGAGCTCCCCCTCCCGCGGAAGCTTTCTCCTTGTGCCTGCACAGCCCGGCCCCTAAGGAAGGGCGAGCCATGGGGACAGGGACGCTTGCAAGGTGTTTCCCTAGGTTCAGAGGGGAGAGGAGATCCTGGCAGACTTTCACGGAGAAATGAGGGGCCTGGGGACCAGAAAGGCTTCCGCGGGGCAGGGCCACATTGATGCCTCTGGGTCTCCGTGCAGGCGTTACGCGTGATGGGGAAGATGATGCGAGAGTGCTGGTACGCCAACGGCGCAGCCCGCCTGACTGCTCTGCGCATTAAGAAGACCCTCTCCCAGCTCAGCGTGCAGGAAGATGTGAAGATCTAACCCTGCTTCCCTCCCCTACATGCAGCCTGGGCAGCGAGGACTACACAGAGCTGCCATGTCGAGCGTACGATGGAGGCCTACCTCTCGTTTCTGCCCAGCCCTCTGTGGCCAGAAGCCCTGGTCCGAAAGAGGGACAGAGCCCGGGAGACCCGCTCACTCCCATGTTGGGTTTGAGACACAGACACCTTTTATACTTACCTCCTAGTGGCATGGAGACTCTGAGCGAACGGTGTGAGAACTCGGTGCCACAACTCCTAACTGGTTGTAGTGGGAAGTCCCGCCCAACCCGGTGCGCCTGGGTACATCCAGGAGTGGTGACGGCGGCCTGGAGGGCCCAGGTGAAGCCGAGTGCTGAGCAGCACTGAGATTTTCCTCCAGGAACCAGCCCCGGCACCGAGGTGGCCCAGAGGAACCCGAAGCGCAGCCCCTCTGGCAGGCAGTTCTGGGCCCCGTGCTCCACCCTCGCCCAGACATCGGCAGGGGCTGCCAGCGGAGACGGAATCCGCCCCTGCCTGTCCAGCCAGGTGTGCATGTGCCGAGGTGCGTCTCCTGTTGTGCCTGGTCCGTGCCACGCCCTTATGTGTGTGCGTGCGTGTGTGTACGTGTGTGTGTACATAATGTGTGTGTGTGTGCGTGTGTGTCTGTAGGTGCGTACTTCCCTGCTTGAGCTTTCTGTGCATGTGCAGGTCAGGGGTGTGTTCTTCATGCTGTCTTCGTGCTGGTGCCTCTGTTCAGTAGTGAGCAGCGTCTCGTTTCCTGGTGCCCTGCCCAGAGGTCTCCTCCCTGCCCCCGCCCCTGCCCCTGCCCCAGAGCTCTGAGCCACGGTACCCTCCTTCCCCACAGGCCGCTCTGCCAACCCTGCGTGAGCACCGCTCTCCATTTCAGACTGGAACCAAAGCTGGCCCAGCAGGCTTTGGGGTCCAAATGTGAGGGAGGGTGGGTGGACAGGGAAAGCAACTTGGTGTGAGTCTTGGGCGTGTGGTCAGCTGCCACCGTGGGAAATGAGCCAGCCCAGGGCATGGTCCTCGCAGCATCCAGGAAGGCCCAATGCGTTTGCAGCCCAGATCGTGGGACTCGGATTAGAATGTCACATCTGTCTTTCCTGTCCCAGATTCTGGAAACAGCCGTGTATATTTTTGGTGGTGGTGGGTTTAGGGTGGGGAAGGGAAAGGGGGGCAGGGAGTGGGGAGGGAGTGCGGGTGGGAGGGAGGCATCTGCATGGGTCTTTTACTGGGTTATCTGATCATGGTGGAGGGAAGGTAGGAGGCTTGTACCCACTTCAGGGGCCCTGCTAAAGGGAGCAGCCTGAGCCGAATCATATTTAACCTGAATGTAGTAGTGAACGATGTCTAGAAGCACGGTTGTGGGTGGTGGTTTGGTCACCATAGCTTAGGTATATAATAACTTTGAAGCCATAACTTTTAACTGGAGTGGGTTTTTTGTTGTTTGTTTTTTAATTTTATTGGGAGGGTCTAGATTTTAACTTTTTTTAATATTATTAAGTTTTTATAAAAGGAAAACCATCTCTATGTGATGATTACCTCTCAATTTATTTGTTTTTAAAGAAACCCTTACAAAAACAACCACAAAAAAAAAAAAAAAAAAAGCTTCAATCAAGCGCACATAGCTCAATCACACTGGAAACGTCGTCCTTGTCCTGAGCCTGTCCCCACTCCGCAGGAGAGGCCCGTCCTGCCCTGGGGGTTCGTCTCTCTCGCTTCTGCCCACCCACCCCCAGTTCCAGGAGTGGCTTGGGGCCAGGGCCCTGGCCTGTTGTGCACTGTCCAGCTGGTTGCTCCTTCTCCAGGCGTTTCCTCAGCTAATGTTGAGTGCCTGTTGGGTGCCAGGCACTGTGCTAGGTGCTGGGATACGGCTGTGAACAAGACAGGCTTGGGTCCTACCCTTGGAGCACTGAGGAAGGACCCGATCCAAGTTGGTGGGTGCCTGTTTTGAGACCAGAAGTTTCATACAGTCGTTGGTTCTGAGAGCCTTTGAGCCCGGAACGATTGCTCTCATAGAAGACCACCGAGGAGCAAGGATGCCTCCCACGCCAAAGAGACCGGTGGTGGGCACGGGCGCCCAGTCACTGCGTTCCTTCTGCGCCTCCTCCCTGCCCGGGGAGCGTGGTGTGGATGCAGCTGCACAGCACCCCTGCCTCCAGCCAGCGACTCGCTGCCAAAGCTTGTGGAGGAGGGAGCCCTCTCCCTGCTTCTGTCTCCCCGATGCCCCTGGCCTTTCTATTTATTTTCCTGATGTGTTGCCTCTTTCCTTGCATTAAAGGAGATTCTCCCCTAACTGTTTGGGCCAATTTACTGGCTATTGACTAATTTCCCTTGAATACCAATTGTGTCATCAGGGGACTTCCTTTCCTCACCTCTGCCCTGCAGAACCTGGCGGGTTCTAAGTGGTTATGGGATTAGACTCCCCGTGCCCATCACCACCAGCCTCTGGGATCTGCCAACACTCCTCGACCCAGGGACTCCCAAGCCACTCGCCTGCTCCCTAGGTGGCCCTTCTGTCCTCACCACACGTACATCCAGCTCCTCCCGCCTGGGGAGGACTGAGCAGTTTTTTGGGAAGCTCCCATCCTCACCCTCGCCACTCTTAACCATAAGCGTTAGGAGTTTAGAGAGCTGGGGAGAAACTACAGCCTGAAGCCGTGGTGTTTGGCCCCCTGAGGCTAACCCTGACCCTTAGGGCGACCTGCACCTCTGGATTCTGGGTTCACAGACCAAGGCCAAGCCCGTTCTTTTGTTGCCATCAAGGCCCCCGAACGGCATTCTCGGTACTTCTGTTTGTTTTTGTACATTTTACTAGAAAGGATTGTAAAATAGCCACTTAGACACTTTACCTCTTCAGTATGCAAATGTAAATAAGTTGTAATATAGGAAATCTTTTGTTTTAATATAAGAATGAGCCTGTCCAATTTCTGCTGTACATTATTAAAGTTTTATTCACAGAGCTGATCTGGTGCCATCTGTTCTCCATCTGTGGATTGCGCCCAGCTGTTGTCAGGGGAGTGGGCCCGGGCAGATGTTCTCAGGTGGCGTTTCTACCCTCCCACTGGGCTGGGCAGCAGGTCACAGAGAGGAGCTGACCCGCCCCTGTGGGGTCTCCCTGAGACTGTCCTCTGTTCCGTGGAGGGAGGCCTGGCACGTGAGGGAGTGGGACACTAAACACCTTTTCCTGGGCTTTGTATTTTAGTCTTGTAGCATTTTCCTCTTTAGACAAAAGAGGGTCTTGATCCTGCTTAGTCGCAAACCATGTAGTCTCGAAGACAGCCTAAGAGCTCTCCTCAGTTTCTGCTTCCCCTCCTAAACTGGAGTATAAATGTGAGTCTGGGGCTTTGAGACGTGAGTCTCCAGTGGTTCCTCTGGCATTTTCAGTGTGTGGGTGGCTGTGAATGTCTGTCTCTAGGCTGAGGGAACCTGGGATAAAAGTCCTAGAGTCATAGAATTTCATGTGTAGGTGGCACCCTAGGGGTCCCCTAGCCCACCACCCCGTGGGCACTTGCCTCCCGACGGCGTCCCGCCACGTTGTGGGCCACGTGATTCCGAACCTCCTGCTGAAACACTCGGGACCACAACTTGTACCTGCCGGCAGGCGTCTGCTGTGGAGAACGCTCTTCCTCATGCAGAACCGGGCAACCTCCATGTGACTTCCATCCTCAGGCGCTTCAGAGCAGCTTCCTCTTCCATATAAGGCCCTTCCAATACTTGAAGGCAGCTGTCATGTTACCATGAGTCTGGCAAAGCTTCGAGTTCCTTCAGTTAATATTAGCAGATACTTACGTGTGCTGAGCAATGTGCCCAAATTTGCTTTACGTATATCAATTGCTTTCATCGTAAAAGAGTGTGAGGTGGGCGTTACTGTCCTCTCTTTATGGTTAGGAAGCAGGGTTAGAACTCAAGTAACTGGCCAGTAAGTCAAATAAGCTTAGCTCACAGGCTGGAAGAGACCGCAGGCTGCAGCCCTTTAGCCTTGGCACCGTCCAGCCTCCATGGTCCACGGTTCTTCCCCAGGCCAGCTGCTCTCCGCCGAGCCAGCTAGAGCCCGGGCCAGGAAGGACACGTAACATTTCACCTAGGCGTTAACTGGCAGCATAGACTAGAACAGGAGCCCCGGACTGTGCCTGACACCTGCAGGTCACATCCCATGGCTGCATCTCGTGTCTTGGGTTGAGTAAAATCCAGCCGGTTGAGTAAAATCCAGCCACCTTCTCCTTCCTCCACCCTGTATAAGGGAAGTTGAACTCATGTGCAGGACCACATATGTTTACCCTATTAAGTTTTAGCATAGCTAGAACCTGCCCATTGCTCCAGCCTGTCGATATTTTAAAATTCTGATTGTTTGCCTAGACCCGTGGTCAGCAAACCACGGCTCGCGAGCCACATGCGGCTCTTTGGCCCCTTCAGTGTGTCTCTTCCACAAAATACCACGTGCGGACGCGCACATACAGTGCGATTGAAACTTCGTGGCCCATGCACAGAAGTTGGTATTTTGTGGAAGAGCCACGCTGAAGGAGCCAAAGAGCCACATGTGGCTCGCGAGCCGCGGTTTGCCGACCACTGGGCCCTAGACTTTTTCATTGTTTTCTCATCTGAAACTGTGGGGCTGGAGAAAATCAAGTAACTTTTAGAAGTTGGCTTTAAGTTTGGCATATATCCCCATTACCCAGGTTAGCTGCTAATTAAATGCTCCCTGGCCACAATTCTTTGATGCACAAAGAAAACAGCAGAAGCCCAGGTAGCTTGCTGAAGTGGGCAAGTATTACGGCCGCTGCATCTCTTTGACCTACCTGCCTGTCGGAAGGAAGGAAAGGTGAAGTGGCTTGAAGCTAATCTCAACCCAGTTCAAAAGACAGTCACCTTGCAGGCATGGACCTACAATTCACTAGGCTATGGATTGCAGGTTCAACTTCATTCTGGAAATCAGAATGCCAACCATTCTGGTACCTGTTCATGTGCCCTTGGAGGTTACTAACGGGGTTTCACCTTTGTAAGGCCCCGTACAGGAGACCTGAATTCATTTGGTGTATCACTTGGGTTTTCGTTACACACATTTTACAGTTCTGCTTCCTCCTTCATCCCAGGCCATGTCTTCTGTCTGGTCTTTGCACTCTGGAAAACATGACTGCTAAAAACAACCAAAACAAAATAAGTAGAGTAGGAGCCTTCAAGAGACACTCAGGAACATGGAGGGATGCAGAATGAAGGTGGCAGGAGGGGAGGAAGCTTTGGATCCAGCCAGGAATGCTGTATTAGGGTTCCCCGAGAAAGAGAACCAGTAAGGTAGGTGGGTGGATGGATGGATGGATGGATGGATAGGTATTTTAAGGAATTGATTCATGGTTGTGGAGGCTGGCAAGTCTGAAATGAGGCCAACGAGCTAGAGAGCCAGGGAAGAATTGATGATGCAGCCTTGTGTCCGAAGGCAGCCTGGAGGCAGAATTCCTTTTTCCTCAGGGACCTCAGTGTTTGAAGGCTTTCAGCTGAGTGGATGAGGCCCAACCACATTTGCAAGGCAATCTGCTTTGCTGAAATTCTACTGATTGAAAGGTTAATCATATCTAAAACATGCCTTCACAGCAATGTCTAAGCTGGGGTTTGACCTAACACCTGGCAGCACACCCAGCGGGAAGCTGATGGGCACCCCATGGTCAGACAGGAAGGCATTGAAGGGATATGGCAGAGAGCCCTGGGTCTGTCTGGGAAAGCTCTTTGGAAGCCAAGGATGGGGCTAATGGGATAGGAAGGTTTAAGGAACAATTAATAATAAATTGATTGTGATTAAATAAGCATTTGTTGAGCAACCGTAGTGTGTAAAGCAGAAGGCAGAATGAACAGTCTGACCCCTTCTCTTCACCACAGAGGGAGGATCTGTACGGAGAGAACGATGAAGCGTATCTTGCAAGTCCCGTTACGGAGCACACATAGCGAGTGATGGAAGCACTGATGACAAACACATAATGAGTGATGAAGCACCGATGCTGTGCCTAGGGAACTGAAGGACAGGCCC